CTAAGGGCGAGTCATTTTACTTATTAAACCTGTCGACGGTTTGTTGTTTGAGAATATTTGAAAAATATTACTCTTAACATATGTCGCCAGTATCTTTATAAGCTTGTTCGTTGATACTCGCAGACAACACGGAATCAATTCTGTAGAACTCTTTTATCTATGACAATGTTATTTCTGTAAAACTCTGTGTGTTCACATTGTCGCAGCCACGCTTTTTTAGCCATATTTTATCCTACACTCAAAATTTTAATTCCTAAATATACAAACTACAAATTTTCTTAGGTTCTCTCAGACTGACTTCTGACTTTTTTAAAAGTCCTCTATCAAAGCCAAGAGCTTCAAACAGCAATTTTCTCACAACCGCTCCAAAGAAGGAAATCACCTCTCGGATATATACTGTTATCCTAAGTGCTAATAGAGACAAGAGCATAAACGACCCTTCAAGTATCCTGAACTGAGAGTGCTTGAAAATTGCTAAACGCAGGTAATGTATTAATTACGGAAACACTACAGCACTTCAGAAAATATCACGGATGTTGGCTAGTGGTACACCGAAAAAAGGTAACTCGACATTGACATAAACGCCTTTTTTTGACAGCCAGACCAGAACCACTAAACACACCACCAGCCCTCTACGGTGCTTTGAGGGAGCCCTGAGAATGACATAAACGGCTATTAGTATCTATAGTCTATACATAGAACGCTAAAACAATTGTGTTGTCACTTAATCGAATTATTTAAATCTACTAGGTGTGTGTGTCAAATCCCGTTTCTCCCTCGTGGGCATGGGGCGAACACCTTTCTGTGTCCTGTTTCACTGATACGTTCTTCAACAGGCAAGTAGTTGATCAGCATTCTGTGCCCTGTCCGACCGTAACATTTTTTTGTTTCCCTGGGATTTAAACCCAGAACCTTTAGCGTGTTACGCAATGCTAGGCAATATTATTTAAGGCCATTTTAATCATTTGGCTACAGAGGCGCGAAATCTACTAAGTACAGATGCATTATAAATATTGGCGAAACCAAGATTTCTCGCGCGCCTCTTAAGCAATATTGAAAAGAACTACACTCCTTTACATTTAACTGAAGTTAAAGTTTTAAAATATCAAATGGATCATCATAGCACTAAAAACACTTGTGGTTAATAAAAACGAAATTAAACTAACGTAAAATTTAGTGTGTTTTTTTTTTTTCAAATGCCAAATAAAACAAAGGGAAATGTGGAAAAAAACTAAGAAAAATAATAATATTTCTGGGCTCCTATTGCGTGAGCTGCGAAAATAGTTCAAGAAACAAAGAATGATTTTACTTTATATGATCTAAAAAAAAATTGCGACAGAATTCGCCTATCTTAAGATTAACTCGCGAGTAACGAAGGGGCGGGGAGGGGGGGGGGGAGCAAAAATTTAAAAAGCTGAGACACGAAACGAATAAAATGACAAAATTACGAGCACAGCTTAATAATAAAATATTTACGTCCATCAAAACTGGGACGGGCGCCTGTAACATTTTTGTATTCCAAAAATATTACATATCATAATATAATAAATGATAATATAAACGGTACAAACGTATGTTTTCAAAATTGCCAAAAAGTACGAGAACGGATGTTCCTAACTACTCATGTAACATCACAGAATACATATGGAGAGGCAGTTACCGGCCTGTTGAATTTTAAGTGGAATATGCAAATCTAGTTTTTCATGTTATGGTTTTAACGGTGCTATGGAAAAATCTTGTATTGTTTATGTCTGGTTAATATTGTAGCTAAGTGAACATGTGTTAACCTTTAAACATAGATTTAACATAATAGAAAGTGTGTTTTGTGTTATTCTGTAAGATAAAGCTTGCGCATGAGTGTAACGTTTAAAAATATTTTAAATAGCACAATTGCTAGGTCTAAATCCGACTTGGTCGTGGATGTCCAACATATGAATAGAACTTCTGAATTATTCATGAATATTGGAACAAATATTTTTTTAAGTCTTATTATTGCATTTTTTACGTAAACTGATTTAGTAATTCGAGGATGAACAACGTAACCCGCCAACTCAATTAGTAAAGATATAATAGTTGGTCTGCTGTTGACAGTGTGTTCGAGACCCACTTGTGATTATTTTTTTATTCGTGTTGTTTATATAATTCTCAATATATAAAAGTTGAAACGCTCCAAGAGCTTGTTTCAGCTAATGAATGTGTTTATAATTTCTATGATGTATACAATGGTCCAGGTTCATAAATAAATAAACATCACGTAGAAAACAGAAATTTATTTTAATTTCGATAATAAATACAACTAAAATACTTAAAATGATTTTGAAAAAAAAAACGAAACAAATACAACAAGTTCTTAAATATAATCCTAAAGTACATTAATAAATAATATTATACTAAAATACTTTGTACGATTCATTACTTATATAACTCTCGAAATATCCTAACAGTAATTTACAAGATTTTGTTGATAATTCTAATAATCTCACTTTGGTAAACTGTGGTTAATGGAGTTTCCTTAATTAATTGTGCTTAATACTAACTTACGAGATAATGTAAAAGCAAAAACTCTTAACACGAAATAACAAGAGAATTACACACATTCACACACACACACACACATCTTAAAATATTGTTGTACAACCTTACGGCATTTTATTGTTTTTCGGTGTTCGGCCGACGTAAGCGTGGCACTCTACTCTTCGCCATCACGGCATCATCAGGAGATGTTAGCTCCTCGATTGATCAATCTTCTATTCATAATTCTTTTCGCTTACGTCGGCCGAACAGCCCCAAAAGCAATGGTATGCCGAACGATGGCCTATGAAGATTTTTTTTTAATAATTCGGACATTTAACATTTTTTAATTAATTACTCTTATGTGAAATACCGAATAGCGAAATTACAAAATACTAATAAATTTGTTCATATGACATTTAAATTTACCACCTCTCTGGTTTAATGCCTAGTCAATTGCAGTCCCGACTTCGAAGTCATTTGATTGATCACGTAAACTTACACTGCATAAAACTCTAGTCGATAATTGTTCTTCATGACAGAGTGGCAGAGACGATTATTAAGCCATTAATTTTTCCATTTGCAAATCCACTCATTCAAACCGAAGCGCGGATTCGCTCTTCAAGACTTTTTTCTGTGGTGACATGGAAGGATTTTTTTTTTGAATTCAATATCCGAGTTGCTCTACAGACGGAATCTAACATATTTAAAGAAATTAAGAAAGATTACTTTACAAAAAATCAACGGTGAAAAGCAATTGGTTGCAAAAGCACGGAACACTCTGGATGCCGGTTCAAGTCAAGATTTTTAATTAATGAAGAAATGGTTAAGAAAAATAAGTTCGATATAGATTCCGTGAGCCCTTGGTTATTACCAGATATTGTTACGACTGGACCAACGAGTCTCTCAAAAGCTTCATATAAGAACCTCTATAGTAACACGTTTCGAGGTAATAAATGTCAGCGCGGAGATGCAACTTCATTCATATTCGTCGCACTCAACGCAATGCATAATGCAACAGACGATCCCAAAGGAAAAAAACATTAGTAAACAGTTTTCTTGATTCGCATACTAAATGTGTATGCACATTTCAAAATGACACTGAATTTTGACAGGAATTCGCGGCATATGCATTTTTACACAATTTTATGCGGTAATATAAAAAAAAACGTATTTAACAGTTTTAACAACAAACTAGTGAAAAAAATAACTAAGGTCTAATTTCCACGATGGTCACTGGGGGGATTTTGTAATATAGTTCGTTTTAAATAGTTTAATTATTTTTATAAATGTGCACTGGATTACCTTCAGATAAAAAATGTTGAAAATATTAAATTGTTATAAGTTAAGCCCCTTTTTTAAAATTATAGGAAATGTTTTACTTAAATTTGTCTAAAACCGTGTATTATACAGATATTAAAGAAAAACAGCGGCTCAAAAGAAGCTACTATCAAAATTAAAAATCGCTGGTTTATTTTGAATTAAATTAAAAATGTATGATAATCTAATTAACGAGCGCCCTCTAGTATTTGTAAATGCAAACACAACTAGTAATAAAATTACCTAGAGTTTTAAGAAAGTTTTAAAAGTCAACACGAAACGTGTGTTTGGTATCATTTTACGCGGCAATAATCGGAGTACAGCACGTGGGACCTTGCTCGGAACCGGTTTCAATATCTTCATTATAAGGTCCCTTATGAAGAAACCACTTCATACGCTCTTCGAAGAATTTTCTTACTTGGAAACATTCAATTGGGGACAGTGAAAATTATAGACTGCATAAGGAATTCATTATTGCCGCGTCCATTTCTGATAAATTCAATTTCAGATATCGAGATGGAAGTGTAACTGGCTTGAAATAAAAAATAAAAAAGCACGGGACGCGGACTTGACATTGACATCTGGGTCATCTGTCATCTTCGGACCTCAATGACTCAGGTTCTCGGAGAACACCCGATTCGTTACTTTGATAATGATTTTTGGGTTTTTTACGTGTTTTTAATAATAGTGCAAGCAAGACAGCAATAGCACAGAGGAAGTGACACCATCACATCCCCCGTATTTGTAGCGGCCCAACAGAAGCGATTAGTGTCACACCGGAATTAGTCCCACAGACAGCCACTTCCTCAACTCTGCTATGTCTAATCGCTTTTTTCAAACAGCGAAACGACAACAAAATATTCCTCTTGTAGCGAGTATTATTACATGACAAGTTAAGACAACCGTTAGATCAATCGTAGTTTTGGCGTCGGGACGGTACACCCTAGCATTTGTCACCGGACCACCGGCGCCGCCGTATTTATAGCGACGCCCGCGCATGCTACCCGTGGGCGGCGAAAGCGTATAAGTCTTATTCGAATATCTATATTAACCGCAAACAAGAATCCTCAAACACACACACCCTTGTACACACCTAATGCAAACTTATACAATACTGTTTTGTACATCCTATTTACATTATCTTCTACGTAAACCAGAGCTTATAACGGTCACGTGTACGAACTAAGAAGAAGACACAGAGCAATCAAAGTAAGCGATATAATGGAGTGGTTGGAGGAGGACACTTCTTGGTGTTGTGTTTTCCTATGCCTCTCTTCGTAGTCTCTTTCGTGGCTTTTGGTGTGGTTCTTCAAGTGCTTGTGGAAGCAGAGCCTAGCCAAGTTGCTTTGCATCCTGGGACAATCGTAATCTTCATTCCCGTCGCAACGGCATGCTGTCAACGCAGCGGCTTTCTCCTGTTTTCTCAATATTTCGATAGAGTTGAGACACTTTTTGGAACACTTTCTTCCGCGGTACACTGAGCGACAATTCTGGTTGTAGTAATCTAGGGCGGTTGCACACTGTGCGTCTGCCAGACAGATCAGCTGAGAGAGGCGACACGAAGCCGTCGCGTCTGCTGCGCCCTTCAACACTTGCGCTCGACACACGTAGATCTTCTGCTTTGCGTCCACGCAGTATTCGTCCTCGCATTGACACTGTAACAAAAACCATTTCCTTTATTAAAAAAAAGAAACAAAAAAAACATTTTAGGGTAGATTTACATCTAAAGACTATAAAATACTAGCTGTGTTTTTTGTGTTTGTGTTTTGTGATTTAAAAAAAGAATCACTCTTTCATACATATTTTTCCCATTTTTTTCACATTTCTCGGCGTATCTTCGCTTGTATTAGTCGATGTTTTATAGCCTATAACCTTCCTCGATAAATGCTCTAACCAACAGAAAAATATTTTTTTCAATTCGAAACCATAGTTCCTGAGATTAGCGCGTTCAAACATACAAATAAACAAACTCTTCATCTTTATATATTAGTATAGATTACAGTTGTATCACCTTATTTAGTTAGACTTAGCTTAGAAACGTGTAAAGCACTACGTGCTAACATTTTATTTATTGCATGCATTTGCATTCGTTCAACTTAGATTATCGGTTGTTGAACCAAGCAATAATGTGAGTCATTTGAATCACATCTGTAGATATTTGAAATGCATTTACGTTAAATTACTACAACCACTGGTCCATCGTTGGTACATATTGCTCAAGAAAATTATTTATTCAAGATTTTCAAGCGACAACGAAACAATAAAAACATACGCTAAATAGATTTGTCAGTACTGTCTGTAGTTTACGAGAGTAGTACATATTTAAATAAAACACTTGAACGGTTTAAAACGTGAAATATATTACTTGACTTGTTATTTAATTTAACTAAAAAACATTCCCCCTTTCCGAATGCTTTGTGTTAGCTAGGGGGCATATTTTGTGGTTGTCTATATTTCCCCGCACGAAACTCGTATTAAAATATTTTAAATTAACTTATATTTATATATAATCGCGTTTGAGACCGTTAAAGTGTTTTATTTAAATGTATACTACTCGCGTAAACTACAGACAGTATCTCCCCGCATATGAATCCTATCTGGTTTTACCGTTTAATTAAGTCCGCCGCGCAATAGTACGCGGCTCAGCCACTGTGTTACACTATATTTTTTGTGATAGAGCAACACCTGCAAAGCGCTGCGGTGGGTCCCGATCAAGACGTCAAGGCTGAACAGTTTATCCCTTTCGATACACATTGCCCAACCATTATTATAGAACCGTTACCGCGACAGTAATTAAAGATCTGACCCGAAACAGTTGCGTAACTAAATTGTATTTTTATTAAGATAACAGAACACACACACGAACGAACATAAGAGAATATCCAAAGCGAATATAGGTCGACCGCGCATCTTTATATGCTAGTTCAGAAAACAAAAAAAAATGTTGATTAAAAAAAAATACCTTTAACGGTTCACAACACGAAATATATTAGTTACACGTATTAAATACTGTCTATAGTTTACGCGAGTAGTACCTTTAATAAAACACTTTACGGTTACTAATATAGTTACACGTATTTTTATTTATTTTAACGAGCCAACGTTACAGATGTTTTACAGCAGTGACGTCACGAGGAGATATTAGTTTAAACATTGTTAAACTATTTAAGAGTCAGTATTAAACGTTAATTTATTTAAGAGATTTTTGAGTTCCATCTTATATACTCCTTGGGCGTTAACACAACACTACCTAAGTTGCGGCTTAATTGACAGAATTTACGCTTTTTTGTAGATGACATAGTCTAAGGACTTACTGAAAATCAGTCTCAGGTCAACAAAGGGCCTAATATAAACTGAGTAAGATCCTATTTCTAGCAGCACGCAACATTATTTTATGCTGTTAATATTAAATAATGTTTTAGTAATAAGTGTAATATATGTTTTTGTGTGCCTTAGCAGTCAATACATTTCTTTCTCTCTTCTCGCACATATATCGTCAAAATTATCTCAATATTTTCATTCCATGAACGTTAATAAATGTTATATAATCCAGTGCTTGAGTTTATACTCCCGGTATCACTACACTAATCCAGCTCAGCAAGAGAAATGGTCGCTGATTAAAAGTGCAAAATATTGTAATAATTAAAACTAATCTTTGTTGAATGAATATTGTGTACTTTTTTAAATAAAATACTTTAACAGTTTAAAACGCGATATATATTAGATAAACTTGTTTGAAAGTTTAACTATTTTAGTTAAATAAGTACCTAATACTAGCGTAAACTACAGACAGTATTGACTGTGTAGTTTCAAATTATTAAAAAACATATATAATGACTTATACCATGTTCCATTTAGCTCGTCTGTCCAATTTACCGTAAATAAAATACTTAATGGCACTCACAAGGTGCACACAAGTAATTGCTCTATTATTAATTAAGTAATGAAACATCACCTGCTAAATGTGTGCTTATAGTAGCAGAATGGATGAGTTAATTCCTAAAAACATCATTTATATTATCGCTTGATCTTATAACTGCGTAATTCCTTTAAAAAATTACATAATATTCTTCATTTGCACGTTTTATGTATACAGTCACTATTTCTACTTTCCTTAGTAGGTACAAAAGGGATAAAACGCAACCTTATTTTTTTCGCTTACTTCTTACTTAGTATTGTTTTTTTTTCCTGAAACGAGACCCGACTATTAATAGATATACTTAAATACTAAACATATACAAAGAGACCTCGCTTGCCCGTCTGTCATCAAGCTGTTCCTTATAAGTTAGATAATCAAAATGAAACGGGGCTTTTATTTTAAATCTTTTTTGTATCATAGTTACAGCGTTATATATCGCGTTTGAAACCGTTAAAGTGTTTTATTTAAACGTTAACTACCCGCATAAACTACAGACAGTATTTCATAGTTACAGATTATATTAAGAAACTTCGTACGCAAGTCAGTTTTTCCTATTGTTCATAGTTGAGCTAACGTTATTTTTATTATCTGTTCGTAAAAAGCGATGAGGTCGTCAACCGCGACCCCTGATGGCTCTGCATCGTGTCCGACAAATCTGACGTCTAAATTAGATTTTATTGCGGCCCGTCTACTAAACAACACCAATTTAAGATAATTTCGTCTTCCTGGGCAGTTACTGCACTATAAAGCCTCTCTGTTATTGGATAATTTCGAATCGAGATTATAGACCTCAATTCTAGGTAGTACAGTCACTCGTACAGTTCTATTAATCTGCCACGAGCGGGCACAGATATAAATAAGATTTCCCATAGGTTATATATATTAAGCCCACCATGCACCAAGAACGACGGGACCACTATAAGAGGCACGGAGGCTACAATATTCTTCGAAAAATTACAAATACTGACTATTATTTCTATTATAGCGAGGTAGCGTACCCAGGCTTATAACAGAGAAGATTATTTCTTTATAAATATAAAATACATGCCATTTCATATTGACGGTTAAAAGCTAAATCTGTTTTAATCATAGTGACGTTTAAATAAATTGATATTTTTTTATTATAAAGGAGGAAAATCCCCACTCCTATCCACGTGTTGCGCTGTAGACCTATTTCGGTTTTTGGATATTCGGATATCCATACTGAAACCGAAACGCGACTAAACCTATGAACTGAATATTTCAATTCATTAATAAATTAAATTTCAAATTTCAATTGTTTTTATGGTTCCCTGTCGAGAGTCTACTACAAATGGCTGCATCTCAATTGGGCAGACGCCATAAACGAGTCGCGATGATGAAAACTTATTGTGACGTTACAAGGTCTGATCAACTCGATTTATTTCTTCAATCAAATGCATCGCACTTTATTTCAATACATTCTCATATTGATTCCATCAATTGAAACGCTTGTGATATAAACTTTTAGCTTCTGTGCGTTACATAGATAGAGTTTGAGATAAAATGTATCAATTTAATTAAAATATGTTGAAGTTAAATGAAACGATAAATCACTTTAAAAAGAGGTTAGGTACTCAACTTGACCTACTTTTTTACATTTGTTCGTAAATTGTAATTATTAACTGTTTAAAACTTTTTTTATTGACATTTGACTATACGAAGCAACTCCTAGGCAGTACGGCAGCAACCCTCGTCCCGTGTTGGTGTTATGGTAAAAATGTATGGCTCATAATCAAAGGTTTATATTCCAATCGGGTCCAACATTTTTCTAATCTATTTATAATTTAACTAAAACGTATTGGACTAAAAAGGAAAAAAAAAAAAAAAAAACAAAAAAAAACAAACCCCGGCAATCTTTTCCCCGGAAAGGGCTCTAAATATTAAATTGGTGGTAAAAAATATCGAAATTCCCCGTGCGACTCTCGACCAACCGTCCACAGATCAATGAAGTTCAATCGCGCTTCGATGAATCTGTGGATTTCCGATATCAAATCAACAACACATCTTGAGATGTTGATAAAAAGAGAACCCCATGCTTGTATGTCTTTCTCGTATAAAAAAAAAGTTGCAGTAACGAGATTTCGTAATAAGTTTTTGTTACTTACATTCATCAATTCCTTTCCTTCTTCAGTAGATGTGAGCGCTATAAGGGCATGTTCACATTCCTTCGGGCAGACACTGGACGGCTGGGCTAGAACATCGTTGCAGAGCATCATGTAGTTGTTCAGAGCTGCCCCACAGCCGCTGCGATAGGCGCAGCGCATGCGCGCCTCTTCGCAGGGCGTCGCTGTGGTTAACACCAGCAAGAAAGACAATATGGCCGCTGCTAGCCACATTACCTGTAACAACATCAGTCAATTAATATACATTTAAAGTAATGTTATATTATATCATAGCGACTGTATAAAATGAACTTTAAAAATTGGAAAAAAAACTTTTAACGGTTCAAAACGCAAAATAAAACTTGTTCACAATTTAAATACTGTTATAGTTTACGCGAGTAGTACATATCACAAACGTGTGGATAAGTAATCCGTAAGAAAATATCGCGTATTATAAAGTTGGTTGATTCTAGGTTTGCTTAGTTTGTAATAGCTAGGACAATCAAGGCATCTACCTAAATTAGAATAAAAATCCTTAAATATCACTACTTAGTATTAAAAACCAGCGGTAAAAACCAGTTATCATTACAATATTAATTTTTGTTGGTGTAAAATAAGTATAGACTGCTTTTAAATTAAATTTGTCACTCATAACGTTATAAGATATAAACTTAGATACAAATTCGTGTTTAATGTCGGTGGAACATACTTTAATTTTTTACTTGTAAAATCTCGTATAGACTTTACAACATTATCAAGCTATAGCAATATAAATCCCGTTAAGCTCAATACGCTGGTTTACTGGTTGCAACACTGCTATCGTCTTTGGTAATCCTCTTGATCCTATGTTCTCGGAAGCGTGGCCACGCGGTAAACAAACAGAATCGCGTCACGTATCTCCATACTGGCTACTAACTTACACGTTTTCGGTAACAGACTAGGGCTGTCAGTCTCACCTTTTTTTATGCGTAGCGTCGACGCCTTTTTTTTCCTTACTCGAAATAAAAACGTCTGTGAGAAAGATTGTTATCAGATTGGCTTTGCCATAACGTATTAATATAGATCTTTGGGATAGATGGCAAATCGAAATTGTAAATGCAAATAGTTTTAAGAAATATCAAATTAAAAACACAAGTTTTGTTTTATGATATTTTTCTAGTATTAATTAATAACTAATCTATACTAATATATAAATTTGTTACTTTTAACGCGTTAATTTAAGGAACTACAGGTTCAAATTGATTTTTTTTTTGTGTTAGTTAGAGCATTCATCAAAGGAGCCTATAAAAGATTGCGCTGTAGCGAATAGGAGCGAAAAGATTCAGAGAAATGTGAAAATAATTCATCTTTAAGAGGTTAAGCGCACGCAACTGTGAAAACCGTTCAAGATATCCAAAAATATGTATGAAAGAATGATTCCTCTTTAAATGATCAAAAAACGTTCTGCGAACCTATATGTCTAGCTTTTAAGATTAACTTCCAAGAACGCCGGGACGCAGCCGACGACGATTCTATGCGAACGAAGTCGCACAGGTAATGCCAAAAAACAAATGAAAAACGTCAATAGACTGTAATTTAGGATGTGACACCCCTAATATCGTTAGATCTGTATGCAGGTCAGTGTCCGCTGAAGAGGCTGATGGCAAAAGAAAACAAAGTGACAACTTAAGACGTCCTAACCACTCGCCCTCCAAGTGTTGCATTACAATAACAATTGATATCGCTTCTCGGAAGAATATGTCCTTACGCCGTTGAAAATAAGAACCATTCAATTCATAACAAAGGTAGCCACGTCTGTACGTTTTGTTTGTTAATTAAATTGTATTTTAATAAACTATTGTGGAATCGTTCGGCGTTTTTCGGTTGTTAAGTTTCGTGACTCGCAACTATTTTGGACGCTGGACGTCTAATCGGTTTGGTCGATAAAATCTAACGTCAACATTTCGGAGAAGTGATGTCGTGAGGCACGAATGTGAGATAGACTTTTGTATCTCTATTCGCTACCAAACTTGGAACCGCAGTTCTTATATGGATTTCTTTAAGAGGATATCCAACAATGCTTTTAAATACCTTTACTTGACATAAATTACAATTATAAATTGAGGTTCAGAGTAATTTTTTAAAGACATAGAATGACACACAAACGTGGGGTTTACTTAATAGACGACTTATTCTGGTTTTGTATATTCGGAAATCCACAGATTAAAAGTGCACAGCACAATATCCAGATTTTTGAAACGAAATCCGGAAGAAATTGGTTGTTGGTTGTTGGACGCGGTGGGGATCGAACCACCGACCCATTGCTTAGCAATACATAGCAACAAATTCATTCATACAAGAAATAAATGGTAGTATTGACGTTAATTTCTATTATAGTTTTGGGATGTCAATAGAGAAAACTTCTGCATTTTAGATGTTTTATGATGGGCTTTTGTAGAATGTCACGAAGTAGTGACTCGAACTAACGTTAAAATTCAACAACATCGAAAATAACCATCGTCTTTATCTGTGACATTTCTCCCGCGAACGACGACGAGCAATTATCATGTTAGTGAGAAAAGCGCTCGTAATTGCTGACAAAAAATCAATATTGTGTCTTCGCGCTGTTTGGTCTTCTCATTCGAAGTGTTAATACGCTCCACGGTTACATATTTATAAACTAGAAATACATTTTAATCAGATTCTCGTAAATCTGAAACCCGTTTCTCGGCTTATCACGATCGTATCGGGTTCCTATTTTACACGTTGTAGTAGGAAATTATAGTTTTATATCTTGCATATTGTCTGCAATATACGCTAGTAGTACACTTTTAAATAAAACACTTTTAACGGTTTAAAACGTGAAATGTTATTAGTTGTGTAGGGACGTATTGAAAATAAATCGTAAATAATTAATACATATCGTATTTTAAGCCGTTAAAAGTGATTTTTTTTGTATCTTTTGACGGGCTTGTTGGTCTAGCGGTAGCATTGGATGTCTTATCATCACGAGTCACGGGATCGATCCCCACCGAAACCAACATGTTTCTGGATCATGTACTTATACTTATTTCTGAGCTATTAGGTACAGTAAGTAGACTAGATTACTATTACTATTTAGTCTTTATTATTACTATTTAGTCTCCCCGTGACCACGGCTGCTGCAAAGCATCCGAAACGTCGGGCCGAAGTTAAAAATCATTTTCAAATAAGTTTAACTAATATATCGCGTTTTAAACCGTTAAAGTGTTTTATTTAAATCTCAAGAGATGTTTTTTGTTTATTATGGTGACGAAAACCAAGACACATCAAACAAAAAAAAATATATAATATATTATTATACAAATATAAATGTATATATATATCAAGCTTGCATTACACGTGAACATTATGAATCAAGTTTAAATTGTTTACACGAATGTGGAACGTCGTGGATTGCATTAAAATGTCTCCAAATTACTTGTCATAAAACAAACTCTGACAGTGGCTAATGGTTCAATTAATATGGTTTTGGGTTTTTCCGTCAAAGAAACAAATGACAATTCCATTCCATTCACCGGCGATAAATTCAATCACGCGTCGAATTGAGAAAGCAGAACTCATAAAGCGATGTTATAAAAACCCACATTGTGACACTTTCCACTCCGTCGAGCTTATAATAACTATTATTCTTAAACCCTTGAACGAATATTATCTTATATGTATAAAACAAAACAAAAAATAATTTATTGTCACCACAATGTTACAAAATAAAATCAATTAAAAAGAATCCAAAATGTAGCGAGAAAAGTCGATTTCTTATGTGTGTAGTGTGTAAAATAATTTGAACTGTTTAAATCGCGCAATATATTAGTTAATTACCGTAATGTAACTAACGGAATAAAATAGTGCTATGTATTCTTTTGCGATGTACCCTTTCTTTTGCTTGTTATTCCTTACACCTACCCACTCAATAAGTCTTTTTCTTTTCTCCTGTACTTCAGGTTGCCTGGAAGAGATCGCTGCTTAGCGATAAGGCCGCCTTTTATTTATAAGTTAGTACGTAAGATGTTTTCTCTTTTTGTATGTGTAGTTTGGGTTATAAATAATAAAGTTATAATAAATAAAAATATAAAATAAATAACGGAAGTGCTTTATTTGTATGTGACTTAAATTACATATATATACACTTTTTACGATTTAAAATGCGATACATATAATTTGAATTATTCAAAAATAGTTTTAAAATATATTATTCACATTATTGTGTTGCGAACCAAACATCTTAAGGTTATTGTTATCTTAATAAAGTCAATACGAGTTATCTTTGTTTTATTTTCAGCGCCATTATCAGTCTTGATTCGTGTTAACTGCTAATTCAGGTCACTGTGTCGTTCGGTATTTACAAAGACGAAACTAACACTGCTTTTTGTTATCTTGTTTTATGCGTAGACAATTTTGTCTAAACGAAACAGTTAAAAGAATAAAAAGGCTTTAAAATAAAAGTTGCACAACTCAAAAACACGACTTTTAACAATTTAGTAATGTATGTAAGTGATATTAGTTTGTTATGATTAATGAAGGACAAATAGAAATTCGTCCAAAACGTCGTTAAAACCGTTTAAACAAACTCAATTATAAATTTATTCTATGTAATTTTACTATTCAAGCCATATCTCAAATAAATAGTATTATACCGTCAGAAAAAGGTTTTATGGTTATTTTGCTTGTAAAATGTGCTGACAAAAATTGCAATAAGTAATACCATTTAGAATGAGAACTACCTTCTTAAGTAAATAAATTGATGGTTAAAAAATATACTGTCCTATTCTTCGCTCTTTAAAAGGCTTTACCATTCGTTATTCAGTAGACACGTTTATGTTTGAGCAAATAACGGCTACTTTAAATTGTATTATTTTAGTTATGTTACGTAACGTTTCATTGTAATTAAACCGCTAAGATAAGTACTATCATTTCTGATAACGTTTGTATTGGACAATGTAGGTTGGGATCAATCCAATTTATTTCACCTGGGTATTTCATTAGTTGTATAAATGAAGTAGCTGACCTGTCAAACGTATTTTGGAATATATAGGAACATCGTCCGCTTAGAATAATTATTTTGGACATCTAAATTCCTCTCTTCCACAAACCTTCTCTACATCTTTATAAATGAACGCTGTTACCCACGACGTCGGTCGCGTCCCTTCCCCTCGGACACTCATAGTGATGAATAAATTCCTCGATAAATGCTCTAACCAACACTAAAATCATTT